TTGTAAACTTTGTAAAAATGTTGTACAACTTTGTAAACTTGAAAAAGCTGTTGTAAACTCTGTAAAAACGTTGTACAACTTTGTAAACGTTGTAAAAACTTTGAAAACTTTGTAAACACTTTGTGAGACTTTGTAGACTCTGTAAAAATTGAAAAACTGTGTAAATTCCGAACTTTGCAAGAACTTTGTCAAATTCCAAAGCTTTGTAAAATCGTTGTAAACTTTCAATACTGTGCAAAAACTGTGTAAACTGTATAAACTTTGCAAAATTTGTGAAAGCTTTGTAAACTATGTAAATACTGTGTAAAGTTTGCAAATGTTTGTACACTCTGAAAAAGCTCCATGTAAAATTGTAGAATTTGCAATCTTTGTAAAATTTTTATAAACTTTGTACAAGCTTTGTAAACTTTCAATACTTTGCAAAACTGTGTAAACTTTGTAAAAACTTTGTCAACATTGCAGCAACATTGTAAAACTTTCAATACGTCTTTAATTGATTTTTTAATGGTAAAACCTTTGTAAACTGGGTAAACTTTGGAAATTGTTCAAAACTTTGTAAACTGTGTTAAAATATTGTAAACTTTGTAAAACTTTGTAAACTTGGTAAACGGTTGTAAAACTTTGCAAACTTCATAAAATCTGTGTAAAACTTTGTAAACTTTGTACCAACTTTGAAAGCTTTGTAAAAATGTAGTGAACTTGGTATAAACTTGGTAAACTTTGTCAACACTTTGTAGACTTTGTAAAACATTTTTAAACTGTGTCAAACTTTGTAAGCTTTGTCAACCTTTAAACTTGTAAAACGTTGTAAGAACTTGGTAAAACTTTATTAAGACGTTGTAAAATTCGCAAACTTTGTAAAAAGGGTTCTTCAAATTATTCTTCAAAGTTAGAGCAACGTTTTACACAGTTATTAGAACGTTTACAAAGTATTTTATTTTTACAAAGTTATACAAAGTTTACAAAACTTTCACAAAGTCTTAAGAATTTGTACAAAGTTTGAAACTTTTGCAAAGAGTTGACAGAGTTGTTGAATTACAAACAAACTTACAAGGTTTACAACGTCTACAAAGCTTTTACCATGGCCGCTCACTCACCACTCACGAGACAAACAAACCTATGAAATAGTCCTTTGGGTCTCGTATGTTGCCACTAACAACGCAAAAAAAACAAGACGTGTTTTATACCCTCTCTTAGTTCTGAACAACCAATTCTTCAGAGGTCCGCAAGGGTCAAAAACACTTCTTCTGCGCTAATTCCCCCGAAACAACGAACGACGGTCCCCAAGCAACTTAACACCGGGCGCCGTGCAAAAGAACTCCTTCTATGCTGGGATCACTTCTGGTGAAAGATCAGACTCGAGACAAGATGATATTGGATGCCCGCCCTAGCAACATGCTGGTCGTCGGGCAACAGAAGTGGGGCCGCGCTATGGCTTTGGGGCCTCAAGGACTTCTTTTATCCATTTGTGGTCAATGAAGAGAGGTGCTCAAAGAACGTGCTGCGCTGGCCAATCCAGTGACTGCAGCAGAAGAGGCAAAGATCATCTTTGCGCCGCCTGTGAGTGGGATGAGGATCCGGTGTGGGTCGGCCTCTCCACGCTGGCTATGGGAGACACCATGGCAGTTGAGTTTGCGCAGGCCAGCCACATTGGTCTGTGCCTCCGACAGGGTGTCGGCTCGGCCTCCGAGTTCCTCACGTTGCATGGCTCGATCCCTCGAGGCCTTCTTCAGGTTGGCATCATAGTTGACGACCTCATCATCCTGGAGCAGGTCGTGAGGCGAGTGCTTGACGCTGACGAGGTCACGGAGTCGGATGCACGGATAGTGGCCGCCAGGTCGCATATGGAGACGCTGGCTTGATCACCAACCCTTCGAAAGGTTTCAAAAAGCAGCTTGGAGCCCAGAAGTTGACGGATTCAAGGGACTCCTAAGGGCTTCTTCACTGCGACTGTGGCCAGTGGCTTTCATCACGATGCGCGTGGTGGCATTGGGGTTAGCATCCTTTGGGTTGCTGGAAGCTTTAGCTGGATCCTGGGTATCGCTCCTAGGGGTCAGGCGACGACTTTACTTGTTGATGGACATCTTTTTTTGAGCCCTTGGCCATAGCAGACCAATTAAAGATCATACGGCTCTCGCCCGAGCTCATCAGCGAACTCCAGGCTCTGGTGATTTGGGCCTCTGGCTGTGGTGAATCTACGCGGAGTTCTACCCTCTGGCCTGATCGCAACCGATGCGCCTGGAGATTGCATGGCTGGGGTAGCTGCAGACTGTCCCTTGGAAAGGTACCGTGCACGAGAACGGCTACACGGCCTGCTGGAAGTTGATCCGTGAAGTGTGGAGAGAGAAGGTCAGACGCCCTACCCACATCAGCATCCTTGAACCCCGAGCATACTTGAAGCATGAGAGAAGGGTGGGCAATGGTGTGCACTCAGTGCGTGTGTTGTCGGCTGGACTCCCAAGTGGCTCTTGGCGCCTTGGTCAAGGGCAGGTCTTCAAGCAAGGCCTTGAACAAAGAGCTCCAACGCTCGTTACGCCCCACCTTGCGGTCCGACATCTATGGCTATCACGTGTACTTTGACACCAAATACAATCCCGCTGATGATCCTACCAGAGATCATCCCTTGCGGCGGCCTGAGCTTCCCCTTCCCCCTTGGTGGACGCCTGTGTGTCGAGGGTTTGCCCCCGAGTTCGACCAGTGGCTCCGGTTTCACGGGGCGGCCACAAACTATGCGGATGTTGACTTTGGTGAGCTATGTGGGGGACAGGCGGTTGACATTAGAGCACAGAAGGCTGCGCGTCGAGACCCTCTGCCAGAAGCTGCACATGTGCATCCAGAGTGCCTACCCGGACAAGGTTTTGAGCGAGAAGATGACGCTCCGAGTTATGACAAGGCTGCCTATGACGAGATAAAAACCTTCCAAGAGCCAGTTTGTTTTTTCAGGCGACAAGCCTGACTTACAAAGAAGGGGGCTTTGGACCTCTTCAGCGGCAGAGCTGGTGTTGCCAGGCAATTGGTTAGGATGGGAGCCCCATGGGTCCTCACCTTTGAAAGAAATCGCTCCGTCAATGAAGGCTTGCTCAACCCCGACCTCAGGAAGCGCATCGAGCTCATGATCATGGGCGGGGCATTCGCCTCTTTGCGCCAGCTTCTCCAGCCTGGACTTCGAAAGGCTAAAGTGGCGCGAGGGAACTCTCACAACGACTGGATCGCTTGGCTGGTCAACCTAGCCGAGACCCACCAGCTTTTTTGGTGGGTTGAGAATCCCGACACCTCGTGGTGGCGGGCAACGGAAATGGATGAAGTTCAGAGACTCTAGCAGCCCTTGGCTCTTCCGCTGCTGCTTCTGCAGGTTTGGACGCAGATGGAAGAAAGCAACCCGTATAGCTACCAACACCTCCTTACGAGGAGTCCGGATGTGGTGCACATGTACCACCAGCCACCTACAACTTCGAGGCGCCTGCAAGGCTCGAGGCATCCCATGGACCGCCGTTGCAGAACCTTACCCACGGGGATTGTGCAGGATGCTGGCGGCCGCTATAGCTACAGCAGCTGGATGGACCTTGAAGGGAAAACTCGACATAGCTGGTTGTGCCCGATCCGACTCGCTGCGAATCGGCCATGCCAAGACCAGCTATTTTCAGCCTAGGGCCTGCCTTTTTCTTCCTCAAGCCGGGGTTAAAACGCAGAGCCTTAGTCTGCACTCGTCCTCACGCGACCCGCACGGTGTTTCCTTGGCCGGAGTGGAGGGCTCATCCCGGGCCACACAGTTGGAAGCAGGGCACTACAAGCTTTGGTTCGACCTCCACCTTGTCGTACTCTAGAGCTTGATGGTGGCAGCAGCTCCACCTAACCTCCAAGGAAGCGATGGAAAAGAGCCAGCGCTGTCGTTTTTCTCTGCGCACCAAATGAAGTTGCAAACATATATATATATATATCTATCTATTCCGGGGACCTGTTGGTAAGTGGAGTATATTTCTTGGAACGGCAAAATTTTTGGAATAAGGATATAGGTATGGTCAGGTACCGTCGGAACAGTTTTCAAAGACAGTGGTCATCAGTTTAGCGTCCCAGAACTGTGAGAGGCTCAAAATGATCGTACCGCACATGCGTAGATTCAGATTTCATTTGTTGAAGGATGGAAGGCCATTGGCAGCATTTGGCAGCCATGGCTTTCACAGAAAGATTGAAAAAGAAAGCGCCTGGTTATTGCTGGAGGACCCCGTCCAACCGAAATATTTCAAGCAGCACTCCATGGAACAGCTAAACGGCTATGCTAAACTTTTAGGGGTGGAGGGCAATGCTGTCAGATGCAAATAGTGGAAACATGTAGTTGCGGTGAGCAGACAACACGTTGTTGAGAATTGGGCTATATAGATGGGGCAGGGAGATAGGAGGCATAGATAGGCGCCCCTTAGATGGGACAAGATCTTGGTAATTATTTGCCAACAGGGTTCCAATTCACACAGACCATTGGAATAATTACACCTGCCACACACCTGACCCTGTAGCAAACATTGTTTTAGAAATTATTGGCTATGTGGTGTTCTCCATTAGCTGGGAAATAAAGTGGTGATTGTCGTACGGATGTCTACCAGTGCCAAGTTTTGATGATAAAAAGGGTGAGTCAGAATGAGTCAGATTGTTTGTGTTGCTGTGAGTGAGCGCTTGTGTCATGTTTTGATATGTGTTGAATGTGAAGATGTGAAGATGATTGAACAATATTCCAATAACTGAACTAGTTCCCAGAATAATTTGAAACTAACTGACAGGGGGTCAGAATATTAACAATTATTCCTAAGGTCTTTGAGTGGGGGGGTCTGGTAACCATCCCCTGTCTTTAGTTCAGGGAGGCTGGTAGTTAACCTTGATCAATCGAAGAAGGACTTGAGTGACCTAAGCATAAAAGCAGAGCCTTGGTCACGTGTGAATAGAGGAAAGGCTCAGCGACGTCGAATCAAAATCAGGCCGTGATGTTGAATTTGAATGCATTGGCCTAGGTCCATATCCCCAATGATTTCGTTCTCCCGCTCCAAACGCCGACAAGAGTGCCCCCAGCCGAGCACAAGCAAAAGGTGACGTTCAGAAAGCTGAAGAAAGACCGGTAGAATTGAAACAGAGGTGGAAACCAATTGAAGCCGAGCCACCTGAGGTTAGGCTTCTCCGCTGAAGAGCGGCAGCCTGTGGAGGCCTCTCTGATTCACACAACTGCACACCGCAGAGCCATGCAGAGCATGACAACAGGTTTGGGTAGTGGCGGCATGTGACACCAGAATCGAGGAACACCGAGAGAGATGGAACTGGAAGAGTATAGACACATAGCAAGATCAAGCTTGCGCCGCCTGGTGTTTTGTATCACTGTTTGCCCATTCCAAGCCAACTTGGCAAACCAGCTCGACAACCTTAATTCGCAACAAAAACCATGTCTCCATATATGTTGTTCAATGCTTGGACTTCTGTGCGTTCAGGGCTTTGCCCTGAGGTTTGCTGAACCAAGCCAAGCCAAGGTGCTTCAGCTGGACAACTTTGAAGAGTTTTTGCCTCTTGAACCACCAGTCCGTCTTGACTACAAGGTGCTTACTTCAACCAGTGGCTGCTTGATGTTGCGCCACCACTCACACAACTCACTTGCAAGCGTTTTGCCTGCCTTGCCCCAATGGCATCAGGTACTGGATTACCCACTCCATGAAGTACCGCCACCCTCAGCGTGCCCACAGAGCTGAGAGCTATAGAAGTGTGGCATTTTAACAACTGCGGCCTATTACTTTGAAGACGCAACGTGCTCTAATTCTTGACCATGATCCGTACGCAGTACTTACAAGCCAAAACGCAAAGTACAAAGTAGCGTTCTTGTTCCAGCGTTGCTGAATTGGACAGGGTGCCGTAGATGCTCCATGTGCTGATTTTTTTAGGATAGTGGTCGTTTTCAATCCCGTAAAAAATCATCCAAAAAGTGACTCCCCCTAGACTCCTGGATAAAACGGTGTTGTAAACAACATGGCTCTGTTAAAGTTTTAAAGACACTCCAAAAGTGGAGGGGCAGTCAATTTATGGATAGCTTCTTTTGGGTGGACTGCTGTCCATTAGAGATACTTCATACAATCTCAGATGATGTGCTTTTTCAGGACCTGGACTCCGGCCATTCCATAAGCCAAGCATTCTTGAAGATTCTTGAAGCCAAGCAAAGAGAAGCCATTTGGCTCACTAACTGCAAGAGATATGAAAAGCGCAAAAATAACACATCATAACACATCTGAGCCAGGAAAAAGCCAAAAAAGACAAGGACAAAATAATTTCGGCAGCTGAAAGCAAAAAAAGAAAGGAGAGCATTCAAATGATTTGGAGCCTGGTGGTAGCTTTTTGGAATGGTGGATTGTTCAATGGTATACCCAAAGCATATACAGTGTCAATAGAGCGGAACAGAAACAGTGACAGAGCACGGTGAGAGTCAGAAATGTCGTGGTCCGTTATCGTTAGTCATTTTATGAAGCTTCCATATCCTTCCGAAACTGACCCCTTATAAAATGTTGTTTTTGGTTGGTGTGCGGTGTGTACTGTTGCGTTCATTTTGATCCTATGAGCGGGGTGGGTCAACCATTTCGGTTTGCCATGGTCTTGTAGGTTAGCTAGGTCGGCAAAGCGAGTTTGGTGCTGCCGCGCAACTGCTTCCATTTTGGGGACATAACTGAACAGTAGAAACTTGATTTTTTGATTGAATTTAAGTATATATATGCCTACAAACGTGTCATTTTGCTTGGTCTGGGCTCCCTATTCTATAGTGAGTTGGTTTTCATTTTTTAGATGGGGCAACCCATTCTATACTTAAGAAGGTGGGGGATGCCATTTTCTAGCTCTATAATATTGAGTCCAGGTCGATGATGTGAATTTAATGGAGGATGTGTTTTCTATTTTCACATGCCAAGATGAGATCAGAAGATGCTGAGACGGGAGAAGAGAAAGATAAAGGACCCAATGCAAAACCATGAAGTCCATTCACGCCATAAGATAGACGGATTAGACTGCAAAAAGAGGAGCGCGCACCACCAAAAGAACGTAAAACGATCCTCTCCGGACTTGGGGACCGACGATGGCATTTGGGGGGACTGAACACCGCCGGATGTAAGATCACGCCCCCGATCTCGAAAGATCTCAAAAGATATGTCATGCAATCGCGAACAATGGCAAAATTTCTGCTGGTGCCAGCGGCCCGCGCTTGCGACAATCAGCGAGTTCAGCAAGAGTATGTTGGAAAGTCAGGGCAGTACCGGGTGGGTGTTGGAGGCCTTGGCTACGGGGCGGGACAGGAACCTTTTGGTGCATTTGGCCACTTACCTTGAGGCCAAAATGACCAGACGAATTCATAGGACCTAGGACGCATGGCAAAAGTTGGGATGCAAACCCAAAGTCAGAATCTGGGCTCTCGGTGGCAAACCGCAAGTAGGCATTGCAACGCGGCTCGTACATTGACAGATGCTGGCCAATAATTGGCAGGGGTCGCTTTTTGATTCTTTTTGGGCTTTGGTTGGGCGAGTTGGCTGCCTGCGCCTGACAGCGCTTTTCCGTTTAGTGTGGTGGTAAAGGGACAAGAAAAGGTACATGAAGCCAAACAATGAAAGAAACCGCTTGACAGCTGCGCTTGAGGACTGCCAGCTCAAATGCAAAGCAATATCACTAGAAAAATGTCTTAGTTCAGACTTTGACACCAACAGGAGCACCTCGTTTGCGGTGAGTGTGGGGACGTGCTGGATGGGGCTGAATTGCCTGTGGACATGCCAGCCGGGAGCTTTGAAGATTGGAGCTGTTCTGACGGAATGAAAACCAAGCACGGACATGCAACCGAGGAGTCGTGCCTCCTCCCTCCAGTGCATGATGCCGGTAGTGCAGTGGCTTTTTGGTCAACCTGTTTGTGGTGTGTCAACTCCACCAAGGCCCTGTCATTGTTGATTCCTTCTACGGACTGCAGGCAAGCTTGTCTGTTTAGAATGCAAGAGCCTCACGGGCCCTTGCACAATGCCTGAAAGGGACAACAAGGAACCAAAAACTGTGAACACTTACAGTATGCTTGGCTGGGCAGCATACATCGGCCGCTTTGATCAGATGGGGAAGGGTCGGCAAGGTAATGTCAAGTCACGATTAATAAACCTCCCATAGTTAATCCGAGCCCACAAAACCACCGGAACTTGCCCAAATTAAAAGTAGTATTGGTGTCTAAATCCCCCCCTAATGGTTTAGTTGGGCACCAGAACCCCCCCAGTTAATCCGAGCCCACAACCAGATCTACTACTACTACTACTGCTACTACTACTACTACTCCTCCTGCTGCTGCTACTGCTACTGCTACTCCTACTGCTACTCCTACTACTCCTACTCCTACTCCTACTACTACTACTACTCCTACTCCTACTCCTACTCCTACTCCTACTCCTACTCCTACGCCTACTCCTCCTACTGCTACTGCTACTGCTACTGCTGCTGCTGCTACTACTACTACTCCTGCTGCTGCTGCTGCTGCTACTACCCTCACTACTCCTACTACTACTACTACTACTACTACTACTACTACTACTATTGCTACTACTACTACTACCACCATTACTACTACCACCACCACTACTACTACTACGACTACTACTACTACTACGACGACGACGACCACCACCACCACCACCGCCACCACCTACCACCTACCACCTACTAATTACATTTTTGACGAAATCCTGAAAAATGTCTAGGGCTCAGGGCCTTTAAATTGCCGTATTAAAAAACAATTAAAAACAAGCTCACAAAGGTACCCCTCACAAGGGCCGGTCCCCCATCAATAATCTTCACTACTACCCCTTATTAATTTGATCCTGTGTCCCTGGCCTTTTCTTTGTGCTTGTTTACTTATTGTGACTACTACTACTACTCCTACTCCGACTCCTACTCCTGCTGCTGCTGCTCCTACTACTACTATTATTACTACTACCACCACCACTACTACTACGACTACCTACTACCTACTACCGACGACGACTGCGACTACGATTGATTGCTCCCTGAGCAGATTGTTCAGGGGGAGTGGACCTCATGAGTGGTATCTCATATCTTCTTGACCTTGTTGACCTACTACGTGGGGGGGGGCGGTTGATTAATCAGGAGTTGACATTGGCACGAAGCACCACGTATTTGGAACTTGGCTATCATACCCCAAGCATTGTTTTGGAGGCAACCTTGTCACAGAAGGCAGCCAATTTGCATCCTTGGTTGGAATCTGCCCCTCTCAAAAAAATGACAAAAGAAGTCAGAGTATTCAGGGTAATTTGCGCGACGCCTGCTTTTTCGTTCTGTGATTGGCATGTTTCAATGGCCCCAGGCTGGCTGCTAAAACCCACCTCCATTTCCAAAGTACAGTCGGCACATTCCAGTGCTGTTTTTGTGTTGGAAGTAGCCGTGTTGCAGTCTGTGTCATGTTCATGCTGGTTTGTGCTGTCGATGACAGTGGACCATTTTTGAAGTATGGCCACAGCAGCAGCAGCAGTAGTTGGAGGATCCGTAGCAGTGTATATATATATATAATTATATATTATATATACATATAAAACATCTTGTAGCTAGCATGTGGCATCAAGGACTGCTTCCAACCAACTCTGATCAGACCACTCCACCCCAATTCAATGCCAGATCCCCATGCATCACAACATAGCACAGCACATTGCACACAAACGGAATGCCATAGACAATCACAAGAAAAACGGTTCACCAAGCTCACCAATGAGATTCAAGACGTCCCTGCAGACACGTATGATCAGGTATGCAGATCCTTAGAGACCACCACATGGCACCGCAGTTCAATAGAAGACACCACATGTAGCCACATCCATCAGCTGCATCGTAACCATTGGAAAACTGTGGTTTCAACTCCAACTGTGGACACGGTGTAGTAGCTTGTGAAGTTGGGTCTTTGTGACCTTTGCGGTTGCGCGTGCGTGCACAAAAGGTCGCAAAAGGTAGCCTCGGTCTCACTTCTTCCTGCATCATCAAAAACTAGACGACGGTTGGCCCGAGAGCGAGACATGTAATGGCCAGGAGAGTCGAAAAGATGTATAGAAAGAGAGAAAGAGAGGGTGGATGTGAAGGAGTGACAGTGTGATGCGCAGGTGCGATTTAGATCTGTAGATGTATGGAGGTGGAGAGGTAGATCTGTGGATGTGAGCGTGCGAAGATGTAAATGCACAGAGACGAGAGAAAAGATATGTAGAAAGAAAGAAAGACACTACAGATGTGAAGGAGCGACAGTGTGGATGTACAGATGTGATATAGATGTGCAGATGTGTGGGTGTAGTGAGGTGGAGAGGTAGATCTGCGGATGTGAGCGTGTGAAGATGTAAAAGTAGAGAGGTGAGGGGGTGTAGACGTAGATGCGTCGATGCAACGGCAGCGCAACGTCAACCTTAGTTGTGCAAGTACAACGCTGAAGAGGTTCAAATAGAACTGAAGAACGCACATTTCACACTGAAGTTTCCACGAACAGGGCGACCTGAGAGTAAACGACGTCGCGATCATGACAAGCGACTCGTGTATTCCAAGCGAACATCGTTTGTCATGAAGGTGAAGTACACACATACTAACGTCACGATGACTCTTTTGTGGCAGCCACTTATGAGTAAGCAATGTAGCTAAAATTTGTCAACCTCTCAAGAGAGCCGGGTGGTTGGGAGACATGACTCAGCTGCAGGGGCGCCAGAGCAGCCGTGAGATGATTCATCATCCGCGTACTACAGTTGTACTACAAAGTCGCCAGTTCTCAGCTTCCAGCTCCACAGCCTGCTCCGCGTACTAAAGTTGTACTACAAAGTCGCCAGTTCTCATCTTCCAGCTCCCCAGATACTCCGCGTACTAAAGTTGTACCAGAAAATCGCCAGTTCTCATCTTCCAGCTCCCCAGATACTCCGCGCACTAAAGTTGTACTACAAAGTCGCCAGTTCTCAGCTTCCAGCTCCACAGATTGCTCCGCGTACTACAGTTGTACTACAAAGTCGAGTTCTCATCTTCCAGCTCCCCAGATACTCCGCGTACTAAAGTTGTTCTACAAAGTCGCCAGTTCTCATCTTCCAGCTCCCCAGATACTCCGCGTACTAAAGTTGTACTACAAAGTCGCCAGTTCTCAGCTTCCAGCTCCACAGATTGCTCCGCGTACTCAACTTGGACTAGAAAGTCGCCAGTTCTCATTTTCCAGCTCCCCAGATACTCCGCGCACTAAAGTCGTACTAGAAAGTCGCCAGTTCTCATCTTCCAGCTCCCCAGATACTCCGCGTACTCAAGTTGTACTACAAAGTCGCCAGTTCTCAGCTTCCAGCTCACGCACGATCTCCGCAGAGGGTTGCGCCGGACCGGGACAAGTCGCACTCTCCCATGCATTTCGCGCCCTCGACGCGCACGATCTCCGCAGAGGGTTGCCCCGAACCGGGTCAAATCGCACTCTCGCCTGCATTTCGTGCGCTCGACACGCACGATCCCCGCAGAGGGTTGTCCCGGACCGGGACACATCGCACTCTCGCCTGCATTTCGCGCACTCGACACGCACGATCCCCGCAGAGGGTTGCCCGCGACAAAACCAAATCGCACTCTCGCCTGCATTTCGCGCACTCGACGCGCACGATCCCCGCAGAGGGTTGCCCGCGACCGGGACAAATCGCACTCTCGCCTGCTTTTCGCGCCCTCGACACGCACGATCTCCGCAGAGGGTTGCGTTTCATGGCGGTCCGGCGGCGCTGCCCGCGGCCTTGAGAGAGAAAGTTAAGAAGAGCGAGAGGTGAAGATGTGAGCTGTAAATGTGAGGATGTGAAGATGAGCAGAGATGTAGGTGTGCAGATGCGAAGATGAGCAGAGATGTAGATGTGTGAAGATGAAGATGAGCTGAGATGAGCAGTGATGTAGATGTGTGAAGATGAAGAAGATGAGCAGAGATGTAGATGTGCAGATGTGAAGATGAGCAGAGATATAGTTGAGAATGTGGATGTGCAGAGGTGAAGATGTGAAGATGTATGAAACGTAGTTCTGCAGATGATTTTTACGAAGAACCCTTCGCAGGCGCTCTCGGGAATTTTCAAATATGTAACATGTATACTAAAAATGTATTCAGGGGAGAGGTTGATGTCAGCCACTGGCTCTCAGCCTGTCAGGAGTCAGGATGGGTTCTATTCATCACTGCCCCCTGAGCAACTCCAAGTCCGATGCATCCTTGCATGCATTGAAGCCAAGTCAGCCTCAAACATCATCAGACTCGGACTTTCCTGGGTGGCCGAACCCGCAGAGCCCGATTGCTGCGCAGCTTCTACAGTTCCGCTTGCACAAAGCCTACATTGCATTTAAAAACACGTTGTACCCTGGGTCCTGGGTTGTTTAAGATGTTTTACTCGCCACTTGGCTAGACAACAATCGTATTTATGGTCCTTTGGGCAGGAGACCGAACGAGAAAAGCGCAAATACCAAAGTGTTTTGGCTTTCCAGATGCCCAAAGAATGAATATATTTACATAAGAATATTTACTTCGGCTAAGAGGCAACAGTACTTACATTTACGGTGTTGTTTGGCAAACCGCCATCCAAAACAATGGTATTCAGCCAGGTTTGAGCGAGTATCAGTGCAACGCTGCAGCCTTGCTTTTTCCATGCGCAATGTGCAAACGTCTCGCACGCTGTCATTCCTGTAGCTGGCGCTCGTTCGTAAGTCATGGGTTAAAAGCTGTATACCAATCAAGCACTTCGGCGCCTTATTTCAGAGGACCAACCTCGTTGCTCGTGGGCAAAGAGCAACATAACAACTGGACGACGGTTGGCCCGAGAGCGAGAAAGGTGATTGTCAAGCAATTCCGCGTAAGGAAATAGTTAAAATCGAGTTGTCCAAGAGCCGTGACTTCTTTATACAATCTGTTATTGAGTAAGAAGTTGCGCAGAAATTATATCTAAAATATTAAGAGAAAACATATGTAGAAAGAGAGAAAGAGAGGGCGGATGTGAAGGAGTGCAGATGCGTGGGAGTGTGGAGGTAGAGGGGTACAGAGGTGAGGGTGTGTAGACGTAGATGCGCAGATGCAACGGCAGCGCAACGTTGTGGGTCAGGAGCGCCAACCTTGGTGCATTTCTCGCTGTGCAAGCACAACGCTGAAGAGGTTCGAATCAAACTGATATATAACACACCAGCGACACGCCGCGTTTACACCAGCGTGTGTTTCGCTCCGTTTACACCAGCATGTTTCGCGCTCCCCAGTGGCACGGCGCCGCGCAAACGCACTTCCCACCAAGGCCGCGCAAATCCGCATGGTACTGCGACACGGACGTAATTCGCCACACGGTCTGCCCACACACTAGAAGCAATCCTATCACACGATACCGCCAATCGTCCCGCTCACCGGCGCCACGCAAACGCACTTCCCACCAAGGCCGCGCAAATCCGCATGGCACTGCGACATCACGGACGTAATTTTGCCACACGGTCTGCCCACACAATACAAGCAATCATATCACACGATACCGCCAATCATCCCGCTCACCAGCGACACGCCGCGTTTACACCAGCATGTTTCGCGCTCCCCAGTGGCACGGCGCCACGCAAACGGCCGCGCAAATCCGCATGGCGCTGCGACATCACGAACATAATTTCGCCACACGGTCTGCCCACACACTACAAGCAATCATATCACACGATACCGCCAATCATCCCGCTCACCAGCGACACGCCGCGTTTACACCAGCATGTTTTGCGCTCCCTAGTCTTAGTGGCACGGCGCCACGCAAACGCACTTCCCAAGACCTCGCAAGTCCGCATGGCACTGCGACATCACGAACGTAATTCGCCACACGGTCTGCCCACACACTAGAAGCAATCATATCACACTAGAAGCAAACACTTCTGAGTCCAGCTCCGCAACGAAAATTGCGTGGCCTTGCTGTGATGTGCCTTTCGCGAGCATGATGTGCCTTAGGGCCGCCGCTTGCACTACATTTGCACTACAAACTGGCCACTACTGAGTCCAGCTCCGAAAGACCCTTTCCCGCACTACATTTGCACTACAAACTGGCAACTTCTGGACCAAAAAAAGCTCTTTCCCGTTCTGCATTTGCACTACAAACTGGCCAGGTCTGAGTCCAGCTCCACAAGTGAAGCGCCAAGTCTCCAAAAGGAGCGTTTCGTTCGAGACTTCCTCCAAAAGAAGCGCCAAGTCTCTAAGACCAGCGTTTCGCACAAGACTTCCTCCAAAAGTGAAGCGCCAAGTCTCCAAAACGAGCGTTTCGTACGAGACTTCCTTCAAAAGTGAAGCGCCAAGTCTCCAAAACCAGCGCTTCGTACGAGACTTCCTTAAAAGTGAAGCGCCAAGTCTCCAAAACCATCCAAAACCAGCGTTTCGTATGAGACGTCCTCCAAAAGAGCGACCAATCCAAAACGCAATCTCACCTGCATTTCGCGCCCTCGACACGCACGATCTCACAGAGGGTTGCGCGCGACCAATCCAAAACGCAATCTCACCTGCATTTCGCGCCCTCGACACGCACGATCTCCGCAGAGGGTTGCGCGCGACCAATCCAAAACGCAATGTCACCTGCACTTCGCACCCTCGACACGCAGGATCTCCCCAGAGGGTTGCGCGCGACCAATCCAAAGCGCAATCTCACCTGCACTTCGCGCCCTTGACGTGAAGATGTGACGATGTAGATGTACAGGTGTGAAGATGTGAAGATGAGCAGGTATGTAGATGTGCAGATGTGAAGATGAGCAGAGATGTAGATGTGCAGATGTGAATATGAGCAGAGATGTAGATGTGCAAATGTAGATGTGAAGATGTGAAGATGAGCAGAGATGTAGATGTGCAAATGTAGATGTGCAGATGTGAAGATGGAGATGAGACGTAGTTCTACAGATGTTTTTTTCGCAGACGTCTCGGGAATTAGAACAACGAGAAAGTTAGAAAACCAAGAAAATGAATGTTTTCGCATTTTCGTGGCAACTGTTCTGAACCGTTGTGAAACGCGAATCCCCGAGACTTCATGAATTAAGGTTCTCCACGGAGGCTGTTGCTCGAACCAGCCGTGAACAATACCCGTTCAAAGTTGTATTTGACCTTATCAGGGATGCGAATGCGCTACACTAGCACGGTTTTGCATGTTTTGCATAGGCATCAAAATGCACCCCATAAGGTCAATGTTTGATGCATCTTGCCCTTGTTGTTGCCGGTTGCTTTAGCGCGTTGCTGCATCCAGGACATATGTGGCCTTTCCAGAGTCAGCCGAATGCGATCCGGAGTACCAATTGGCACAGAAGGCCAGGAGGAATAACGATGTTAGTGTGATCACGCTATGAAACAAAGAACGCAAGCGAAGGCGTACTTGGAAAATTTTGAATTTGTGGGCAGTTGCAGCTGCGCACAGTCTATTTGAACGTTGGTCCATCAATGTGGGGTTTTGGGCTAGTTCATGCAGATTCCAGAATCTCGCGTTAGCTTTGCTTGTTGGCCCTGTTCAGCCCGACTTGCTTGATCAACTTCGAGCTGTTCCCCTTCTTCCGCTCAAACCTTATTATATAGAAGTTTGGATTGAAACAACTTCTGAAGTTTTGCTGTTTGTCACCATGTTCCACGATGTGCAAGACCTGACATTATGTCCTTGGAAACTCCGTGGTGCAGATCTTAGCCGCAGAATGGTAGGGATGTTCTTGCCAAGATCACAGGTAAGCTGGCAGGAAACTGTCTAAGGTTGGAGTCTTGGAGGGCACCACGTCAAGTTCAAGCAGCACTCTCAGACACTATCATTCAGCGGTTGGAGTGCAAAACCCGAACTGGTCGAGACATCCGGCACACATGCTGCCCGCGGCCTCAGCTTGGTCGTTCTCACAGTCTTTGGACTGAAAGATTACTACCCTCCCAAGATTCAGATCATTCAGGGGAATGACGCGGGGGAAGTCCAAATCACAAAGGAAACAAGGTCCCTCCCCAGCCGCGTCCACCCATGCACCTCCCGTCTCGCTCCCCTCCATTTGCCCTCCCCAGCCCCGTCCGCCTCCCGTCTCGCTCCCCTCCATCTTCCCCACCCCCTCCCCACCCATGCACCTTCCTTCTCGCTCCCCTCCATCTTCCCCATGCACCTCCCGTCTCGCTCCCCTCCATTGTCCCTCCCCAGCCCCCACCCATGAGCCTCCCGTCTCGCTCCCCCCTTCCCAACCCCGTCCACCTCCACATCCATCTTCCGGCCCCGACAACGCACTCTTCCGCGGCACTAGCGACTAAACGAGAACCCAAGCATCGGAGATGCTTTTGGGAAAAAGTGAGAAGGCTGCTGAGTTCTTTGTAGCAAAAACGCACTCCGTGAAGGATCAAGACTCCTTCCCCAGCTACAGATTCTGTTAGATATGCCAATGTCAAAAGAGCTCCTGTATTGGCAATGGGTGAAACATTGCGAAACTATGTAAGACTTAGGTTGGGGTTGGGGTTGCCAACGGTGAGGACACCAACCACTAAATGCAAAGATGTTTGACCAAACAATCGGAACTGGGAGAGCACGCCAAGAATTCGAAGTTGGTGGCTCAAGATTGAAATGCACCGATCGAGACGGGAGGCCATTGGTAAAGCAACCACAGGGCACTCATGGGAACAGAATCAGAGGTCAAGATAGGTCAAGTGAATTGCAAAAGTGCATATATCACAAAAGCCAGCTGATAGGCTAGGCTGGGGAGCGAACGAAGTGAGTAAAGGGGTGTGAGGGGGGGGGCCAGCAGGGCACGCTCGGAGAGGCTGACTCAGATGGGCTGGAGGTATATATATATATATACATATAGTGAAAATGAGTTGTGTTCTGGGGTGTTGTGACGCAAGCGACGTAATTGACGGCGAGTCCGGAGTAGTTTTCTACCAGGGGTGGGAGTTCATGTCGATGAGAGGAAGGCGGGGACAACGGGACGCAAAAAGTGGTGGGAATTTTTGAGAAAAGGGAGATGCTTGTCTCTGGCGGACTCTGGCGGCTATTGAAGTAGTTTTCGACTAGGTGTGGGAGGGAGGGGTCTCTGGTGCCCTTTTCCACCTCCACAACACCCCGACATCAAGCCGAAAAAGGGCACCCCCTCCTAAACCTACATATTCTACTTTCTATGTCCACGCTTTCTCAAATGACAGCAATATCCGCTTCACCACTTCCGGCTACTCTTTGTCCACGCTACCTATATACATATATGTTGTATCCTCACGAAAGCCTGCCGATAGCCTCGCCCATAGGCCACCCACAACCAGCTTGCTCACTGATTAGCAACACGCAGCAGGCAAACGCATATATTATACTTGAGGAGTGCCCTTTTTCACCTCCAAAACGCCCCTAAACCAGGACAGAAAAGGGCACCGCCCCAAACCTATATATTCTACTTTCATTTACTTTCTGTTTCTACTTTGCCCGATGTTACCCAATCACTTCATCTTGCACGCCAAGTCTTTGAGTCAATTTGAGTCCATCTACAGGACATGAATAACAAACAGCGAGCAAAGGCCAGGCTTGCCCTAAGGGCACCCCCCTAACCCAGAGGCTGGCTTTCGCCCCCTCCTTTCTCAGGTAATTCGAATAAAACTCAAACCATTGAACGTGGAAGAACTGGTCATAGCCAGCCAGTGCAATTTAACCGAAGCAGCGCAAGAAGCGGGAGTTTCAGGTTGCACGGGTCTTGACCTATATGGTGTCCCCAAATTGTAACGATGCAAAACAAACTGCCAGACCGGTGGAAGCATGGAGACAATTGTAAAGAACTCCTGTGTTTGTAGCGCGCGGAGAGGGGTTGGCCGTGAGGAGGTAGACCTAGGATCTAGGAAACTCTAGTGGCTGGGCCTTGCATCCTCTTGTCCAAGGCCGTTTCAACATTACACTTGACATCCATGGCTTTGCGGCAGCAACCCAAGCACAACAGCGATATTGGGCACATTAACGCGTATTGACTACCCGATTCAGTTGCTCATCCAGCAAAGCAAATGAGCTTCCCACCTACCAAGACAAAGCTATTCCATTTTTTAAAGGCCAAATTCTTCGAAAGCCATTCTGTTGGCACCGGAAGAAAGCTCAGGGTTCTTCAAGGAAGCTCCCCCACCTGAGGGCGGGGGGAAGCTTAGAAGCCCTCGCACTAACCTCAACAGCTTGATGTATATTCTCAAACCTTACTTAATTCTAACAAGGCTCCTGCCCTTTTGGCTGTTCCCTGGACTTGGCAAGGCATGTCGAGGTCAGCTGCGGAACCTGCGGAACCACCTGCGGGCTAGCGGCGCGACGCATTGACAGGTTCAAGCTCAAATCTGTTGAGCCTGCACGTCTTTTCATTCATGCACGCGCGCACTCATCCATGCGCAAAAGCATGTGAAAGCTGTTAGTGCACCGCAACATCGAAACCTCCATTGATTGCGAAAGATATCTATCCACAGTTCGTCAAAAGAAAGTCAGTGGCAAGGCAGACCTAGCAAAATTTGGTGAGGTGATGTGCAAGAAACTGTAAGGATCAGATCATGGCGGGGCGTGGGGTCGACATTGAATTCTCATAGGAGGCACTGTACGTAGCAGGTACCGAAGGAACCCGCAACAAATTTTAATTTGGCCAAGCCCATGGCACATGAGTTTGAGATACTGAGGATCCTTTTCAGCACAGCGACCCTTTCGAGGCAAACTTTGCTGAGGCACTGGGGCAGTCAATAGTCTATTTTGGCATGTGTAATCAGCATGTGGCTGTCTTCGTCGCAGTGTCACTTGCTGCTTGTGTGCTACAAAGCGCTTATGGCTGGCTTATGCTGCCTCACGAGAGGGAAAGAGGGAGATGGAGGCATGATGGACATGAGGGGGAAGGACCCTTTTCATCGGTCAACAGGACACTTCTGGTGCAAGTGTTTGTTGCAACATGGCCCATTGTGACAGCCCTGCCGATCCAACTTCTGTGGAACACCGCGGCGAAACCATGACGAGTTGCTAGTGAGGCATTCCAAGCTTCTACTAAGTGCTTTGCTGATGCACTTGCTCATTTGCAGTAGGAGTTGACAGGGAGGTTTGTAGAGGGTTAGGTTGTAGGCTGCGTCAGTCTTAACGAAAGAGTTCTCAAATTCTCAAAACGTCGTGCTGTGTTGGCCAGCAGGTTCATATTTCGCATTTGCCTTTGACTCTTGTGACTAACTCTTGCGACTATAGAGATTCTTTGTGTCGCATTCTTCCTGCCGCCCTCATGCTTCTGCTCACGGCGATGTTGGCCTGATTCATTCATATACATGTATAATAGGCTCTTATACAAAAATACCAATACGTGGCAGGCCCATGCAATATGCTCATTGCATTCAGATGGCACATGCTTGCTTGTTCCAAAGCTCGGGTATCGCACTGGTTGTGCCCGGCCCCCACACGTGGTTTGCTTTTTGTGGTGAGGATGCGCGACTGAAGAGTTGCAGCTCGTACCAAGCTTTTAAACACAAAACCATCAAGCAGTTGCTATGCCAAACCACCCCACGGCCACATGGTGTTTGCTGACATATTATTGTTGTGGAACAATCGATGCCGCAACTTAATTTGCAAGCGGTTTTACCCGCTGTGCATATAAAGATATACGTATTTATCCACACACACACTTATGGATATGCGTACTGACTTGACATCGGTGCCACACGCCAACCTAGGTTAAAAAAGGGGCCTGAGTAAAACGAGGCACAAAAGTTGGAGGCCATCGCTCTTAGGTTAGAGGCCATCGAAGGCAGGTTGAGAGGCCATCGCTAGTAAGTTGGTGACAAGAAACAAGACAGCAAAACAGTCAAAACAGTCAAAGTTGGAGGTCCTCTCACTTAGGTTGGAGGCCATCGAAAGCAGGTTGAGGGGCCATCGCTAGTAAGTTGGTGACAAGAACCAAAACTGCAGGCCGTCAAAGTTGGAGGTCTTCGCTCTTAGGTTGGAGGCCGTCGAAAGCAGGTTGGGGGCCAACGCTAGGACCGCTACGAGGTTGGAAACAAGAAGCACAAAAAGCACAAGAAACACAAGACAGCAAGGTTGGGGGCCAATCTAGTGGGTGGAGGCCAAAGTTCAGGTTAAAGAACCCCTTACAAAGTTGGGAGGCCTACCCTAGAGGAAAACAGAAGGAAAGGCGCCGACACACAAGTGTGTCGAGTACCATTTCCTCCTGTTTTCCTAAATAGTGGAACAGGTACGGAAATTTGCGTCCAAACTTCCATCCAGTCGATTTCCATAGCTTCATTGGCGTGATTAGGAAATCGACCGTCACGCCCCCTGTTCCAAACCAAAGGTTCCCTTTGATTCCAAGGGCTACACACACACGCCTCCCCGAAGGGAGGCATGTGTGGCCTCCATCCTGCCCGGAGAGGAGGCAAGGCACATGTGCACGCAAAAGGGACAGATGAAAATGAAAAGAACGAGACAGACAAAGGTGTGTGTGTGTGGGTGCCGATGAAGAAGAACCAAGTGAAGAGGGGCAACCGATGAACCAAACCTCATTGTAACAAACCTGGGCCACCTGAACCTCGTTGTAAGTAGAGTACGCGTGCGTGTATGTGTGCAAACTAAGGTCCGGACGATAGTACGCGCAAGAGAAAGAAAGGATGAGGATGAAGAGACATGAAGACAGAAAGACATGAAAGAAAAGAGGAAAAACGTCTGTGGGGGCCGATGAAAGGGGAACCAAATGAACGGGGACAAACCGATGACAGTCCAAACCTCATTAAAAAACACCTGTTGCAGAAGCCTAGTTTGCTTGTAAACACGCCGCGCGCGAGGAAAGAGGGGGGAGGGGGAGGAAGAAAAGAGAGGGAAAGAAGGAAACAAAGGTGCTCCCAGCTACGACACAAGCGTCCAAGGACACACCAAAAAGGAAGGGCTCCCAGCTATGACGAAAGCATCCAGGGACACCCAAGGAAGAAGGTGAAGAGAGGAAAGAGAGAAGGAAAGAAAGAGAAAGGGAGAGAAAGGGAGAGGAGAGAAAGGAAGGTGTTCCCAGCTACGAACAATCGTCCAGGGACACACCATAGAAAGAGAGGGGTGATCCTGAGTATTCCATTCAGGAAAACCCCAGAAAGCAAAGAAAGAAAGGGGAGGGAAGGGGAGGAGGGGGGGCTAAGCTCTCGACAGGTTCCAGTGAACCTTGAACAAGCTTTGGTCGCTGCGACCACGTACGGCTTGCCCGAAGGCTGCCGCCTCTGACCGCTGCGGTCACGCAAAGGCATAAGCCAGCTTGGAATTCCAAAGATGAGACAAAAATCTGAGTTCTCTCGGCCTAGGCCACTCTGGGCACGTACATCTCCGGGCAACGACAGACACCCGTTCGACGGGTCCACGGGAGGCACTCTACGGGCTCATGCCGGACTCACTAGGAGAGACACACTTATGGATATGCATACTGACTTGACATCGGTGCCACACGCCAACCTAGGTTAAAAAAGGGGCCTGAGTAAAACGATGCACAAGTTGGAGGCCATCGCTCTTAGGTTAGAGGCCATCGAAGGCAGGTTGAGAGGCCATCGCTAGTAAGTTGGTGACAAGAAACAAGACAGCAAAACAGTCAAAACAGTCAAAGTTGGAGGTCCTCTCACTTAGGTTGGAGGCCATCGAAAGCAGGTTGAGGGGCCATCGCTAGTAAGTTGGTGACAAGAACCAAAACTGCAGGCCGTCAAAGTTGGAGGTCTTCGCTCTTAGGTTGGAGGCCGTCGAAAGCAGGTTGGGGGCCAACGCTAGGACCGCTAGGAGGTTGGTAACAAGAAGCACAAAAAGCACAAGAAACACAAGACAGCAAGGTTGGGGGCCAATCTAGTGGGCGGAGGCCAAAGTTCAGGTTAAAGAACCCCTTACAAAGTTGGGATGCCTACCCTAGAGGAAAACAGAAGGAAAGGCGCCGACACACAAGTGTGTCGAGTACCGTTTCCTCCTGTTTTCCTAAATAGTGGAACAGGTGCGGAAGCTTGCGTCCAAACTTCCATCCAGTCGATTTCCATAGCTTCATTGGCGTGATTAGGAAATCGACCGTCACGCCCCCTGTTCCAAACCAAAAGGTTCCTTTTGATTCCAAGGGTTACACACACAACATATATATTTTATATATATGTATATTATTGCATATTTACATACACGCACCTTTTGCATCCCATGGGAATATTTCTGGGGACCCTGGGTGCCCAAAATCAGATGGATTTTTTAGAGATTTCTTTTTGGGGGCCTGGGGGGCACTTTTTGTCTACGCAATCCACCCCAGAAAAGTTAATTTACTTTTGAGCATGTTCTAAATCACAAAAGGTAGCATTAGCTACCTGAGTTCTATCTTGCATAAGCAAGGGGGGGCTGCATCGCTGAAAGTCCTTGATTGTTTTTCCCAAACAGTGTGGACACAATTAGGGGTTCTTGCGGTAAGTGTTAAGCAGCTGATGCTTAGATCGCTGAAGCGCGCGGGCGTGACCGGCTAATTCGCTGCTATTTACAGTACATTCATGCCTCTCGAAATCCTCGAAGTGCAATTCGACTGCGCAGGCTCGCGAAATCTGGGTGGCCGCGGCGGGTGCTTCTAGCAACTGCGCTCTCGTGTGGTGCCCTGCGCATTTTCGTACATGGTGGTCGCCTTTCGTGGCAGGCGCAAGGGAAACCTCGTGTTTTGGTGGTCCAACGTCGACTTTTCGTGACGGGCGCAAGGGATCGGAGCAGTTCTACGCAGATGTCGTGGCAGGCGCAGCACTTTGGACATCGTGGTTATCGTCGAGGTGCTCCGGCTTCGTGACAGGTGCAGTGAATCGTAGCTTTTCGACTTGTGGCTCATTTGCAGATTTCGTGGCAGACACAGCGCTTTGTGAACCTTGAAGTTCGTGGCAGGCACAGGGCTCGAAGTGCAGATTTCGTGGCAGGCGCAGCTCTTTTGTGCTCTCAGATGCTCACGTCTCGCTCTCACCCACACTCACACTCACGCACGCTCACACTCACACTCATTCGCTCGCTCTGACTCTCTCTCACTCTCACTCACTCTTCAGACACACACCCACTCTCACTCTCCCACTCTCACTCAAAATGGTAGCGGCGCCTGCGTTTGCTTCGCTTTGCCCGATCCACTTCGTGTGTGTCTGCTAGAAATTCCGGACAGGGACAACCAGAGTTTGCCCACTGACTGAAGCCAAGAGACGACCATGGTCCAGATCTTTAACTTAGATACGGACAACGAATCAGATTACAATCCTGGTCAGGCATTCGCAGCGCCTCTAGCTCGATATTCCGGTCATTCCGGACTTATGAATCACAACCAACGCCAGGAGTGAAATGATTCCGAAAATTCCCCATCCTTTGATGGACAATCGTCTTGGCTTGAGTTCGAAGATTTGATAGACGACTGGGTGAACATCACCACACCTTCCGCCGAGAAGCTAGGTCCATCTTGGAAAAACGCCTTAACCGGAAGTGCTGAATATAAAGAAAGTGCTCGACAATCAACAGCTTCGTGACGAAAAGTGCGGTATTGCCTACTTGGCGCGGAAACGACGAATTTGTAGGCTGCATCGCCCGTTTTGAAGTTGCTTCGAAGAAGGTTATGGAGTCTTGGATGGGCTTGTTAGATGTCTTTCCCAAGTTCCTCAAACTGAAGTTCTTCAAGCCACTCAGGACTCAAAATTTGCAAGACCAAAGACAAATAGCAGAAAGAATCAAAAATGAACCCCTTGAGAACACGAAGGCAGCACCCAGAAAACAAACCAAAGGCAGCAAAGGCAAGGGCCGCGGAAAAGGTAGACGACCCGACTTCACCGGCCGTAGGGGCAAAGGTGGAGGCGCGCGTTATGCAGAGTATCCAGACAACTCAGGGCTATGAAAAAAGGCAAGAAAGGAAATACAGGTGGAAAGACACAATTCAAAGGACACGATGCCTTCAAAGGTACAGGAAAGAGCCAGCAACAGAACCAGAACTAGCTGTCAAATGTTGCGATTATCGAAGAGCCTTCAAAAGGTCAGCAAATCCCAACACCGAAGAAACCTGGAGTGCACATGAAGCATCATCATGGAGCTGGAATGGCTCATATGGATACGGTGTTATCGACAGAAGGCCTCACTTTAACGGTCGCCAGCCACTTGACCTTTGGGAGGCTGATTTGTATCACGTGCCTCCCCACATCTCCCCACTATTTAGTGAAGAACATTGCACATTGACATGCCACCATTTTGCTGGAAGCAGGTGGTCTCGATAACCATCAAGATCTCCTTCATCAGCGCAAAAACGTCTTGGACCGAGCTGCTTCGCCGCATACAACTTGATACCGATGAGGTCGACCGACTGGTTAATGCATTCCGCGACGTTCCGCGCGATCGCCATTGAATGTGCCTACGTGGAGACATGCCGGACTGGCAAACTGGCGGGCTGCAAGCGTATGCACCTTCCAGAGGTTCGCATTTGCGCATTTCACATCAACTCTTCACGCTTTTGAAGACTGCATCATTGCCGGCAAAAACGCCCTTTTACGTGTTCTCACTCCAGCAGTGGCAGATCAAGTTGCTTTCATCGCGATGCCTACTTCTTTGCGAACCGCAATTCGAAAGACCGACATTCCGATCCAACTACACACGCCGTCCTCACAATTCTTGACCAAATCATCAAAGCCACTTATCGTTATCGTGAGCCACATCAATGCGTTACTTATAATTGTCAGTTCTCTACGCTGGCAACCGAGACTGTACTTGCATTTGGAAAGGTAAGTCAGCAGATGTGGGTTGCCTGTTGGCCATCATCCTTGACTACGGGAAAGACATGCGCGCGTTGACGGCAAGAACTTCCGACATGACGGAAGAAAAAGGAAAGTCCTCCTATGACGGAGAACCTCGATAGAAAGAAACAGTCATCAAACCAGACGAGTATCTGAAGCACTTAAACCATTTGGACATGTGCTTGAAACATACTGATGAGTTGTACCATCACCCCTTTCAGTGCAACTTCCAGCTCCCTTGCCGCAAGAATGCAAGAACCCGAGCCAGTCCCGTCTCAGATAGCCCTCTGTACCTTCATTGTTGTAGAGCTTAGTTCACTTCTACTTTTGACTCAAGGTTTAGCCCGAACGCACTGTACGACTGCTCGCCTTTAAAGATAAAACACTCACTTCGTCGGTCGCTCTCGACCGTCGACAGCTTGGAGCACTCTGGCGTGTTCGTTCACAGGTCCAGCGCATACACTCTATTATTGCCACTTTGGAGAATTCACCCCTCACCCCCCCCCGCGGCTCAACTCCCACCGTGGGGCATCATGCTCACCGTCATACATGAGATGATTTTTCGCAAGTTTTCTTTTCTTCAATTGAATTTTGGTCAGGTGGCTTAAAGAGATCCAAAACATAGAGAAACGAGACATATGGCATCATCATCATCCGTTCATGAACACATGCTAGCACTCCTCCACAGATCAAATGAACTCGCTCACCCCCGCATAGAGGTATGTAGACCAACCCAAAGATGAATCAAGTACACCTAGGAGACTTGCTCGTCCAAGCGCAGTTTCCGTTTTGCATGTGTCCTCCCTACTTTCGTTCACCTTTCCTCAAGTGCTCAAAAGTTTCGGATACTGTGGCCATCGAAATGTCATAGAGACAGTGGAGGGGTGAAATACGAGTAGGGTTGGTCCCCTGATTTTTGAAAAACAGAAGCAACTTTATATAGAGTGCATTCTGAACCTTAAATCCTGATTATGTATGTGTATATATATATATGTAAGGAATGAAGATGAAACAAAAATAGGTTAAACATGTTAGACTTGCATTATATAGAGAAACATGAATAGATGTGGAAAATACGAAAAAACGCAGAAAGACTGAAAGACCAAAAATACATATAGCAAGCTGATTCAGCGTGTGCGATTGCACTTATGGGGTTTGATGTGTGCGTGCTTCACATGCTCTGACTGCGTTTGTGAGAATCTTGTGGGTTGTCGAAATATCCGATGAGGACAATGCAATATTGCAAAACCTGTTGTAAAGCGCTGCGTTCCCTCCTGTCTGTTTATATATGTATATAAATAACTACAACTCTTGGAATGTCTTATTTTTGTTCGACACTCTTATATCAAGGAAAGTATAAATAAGTTAAAGGTCATTGTTCAGATCGAATGTTGGTCCACATTGTATAAGTTGCCCATTGTGTTTGAAGGCTGTTTGATCATTTTACAAGTGGGGTCCTGATAAAATAAATCGCGACCAGGTGATTTTTTGTGTGTTTTGTTTTTGGCATGCAGTTATCCTGCAGACAAGCCTGGTTGAGTTTGCACGTGGTCGGGTTGGCTGTTGGTCGCAAGTCGACCTGGGAAAGCCAATCCATGCAGGCTGGTGGTGCTTTGGGACCTTTGCTCGGCTTGTAACTCAGGTATAAGAGTGCACCACGCATCACCAAGCCACTTGAGTTTGATGTTGTTCCGAAAGCAGGCTCGGATCTTGGTGGCCAGCGCTTGTCTTTTATGCCAGCCAGGGCGCCCAGACTTCCCTTTTACAGTCGGGACGAGCTTAAATTCCACAGATTTCAGGCTGGTGGCTTGGAGAGGGACCTGCCGAGCGACACTGACGATGATGAGCAACCGGAGTTCAACATACCAGCTCCAGGCTTGACGCTGGTCTTGAAGTCCTGTGTTCCTTTTATGTTTTGTGAGATTTGTCGTGAGGCGCGGACGTGCAAGACAATGCAATGTCAAGCCTTGCACACAACTAAGTGAGAGGAGAATGCAGCGGAGAAGATGTAGGCGGCATGCAGTAAAGGATTGTGACGCCAAGGAGGGGCAAGTCAATTCGGAGATGTGGTGCAAGCAAGGCGCTGCAGAGGAGCTGGGATGGAAAGCGCGTTGCACAACTTTGGGTACTTGGCCCGGAAAGTCGCCATTCACTTCGGCAAGTCAGAAGTAAAAGTAAGCCCTTCCGGAAAGAGAGTCAGTCCACCCAAGCACGGACAGCAAGACTGCTGACTGCTCCAATCAAGCTACAGCTCATGATGGCGAAATGGACACAATCAGCAGCAGCAACAGCAGCAGCAGCAGCAGCCGCCAGTCAACTACAAGTTTGCGTGTGTATGTTCATATGTATTTAGCTGTGTGTGTGTGGGATTTGAAGCATAACCACTGACCGCTGTTGCTTCAGTGGGTAACTAGTGTAACTAGTGCCACGCACTCGGCAAGACTGCAGTAGGTTAGCATAGGTTAGCATCCCAGGCAGTCCATTTAGAGACAGATCAACGGGGACGCCACCTACACGCGAGGATTTCAGTTTTTGCCACAAATCCAGAGTTCAGAATGCTTCCGACCAATCTACACAACAGCATTGTCTCAAACCTCCTTTCAGCTTGCTCGTGGCTCTTTGTGGGTGTCAAGTCAACCCCAGGATTCACACAAGTTCGTTCTTTGCCTTTCGTTTCACATAGCTTATTGCTTCTTCCTGCTTCATAATTGAGGGGCTTCTAATGGTTCCATAGAGCCATGGAGGACACCCCCAACACCCGCCCGATGAGGGAATTACTCGGCGGCGCCGCGTTCAGACGTTGCGCAAATTTGTCAGATTTCAATTGGGTGTCGAGCATGCAAAGCATGAGGCGGTCGAGACGCTTGACATGTGAAAAGATGGAGCGCTGCATGAGTTGCTGTTTCCGAGGTCTTTCGTTCTATAGACCCAGGGCCACGTAGCTTGAGCACTCCAGGCTCCTAAACCAACATTGGTAGCGCACAGCTGGAACGGTAGAGTCCTCCGACTACCTGTTCGCGTGCAGCCCCTCAGCGAGTACAAGATGGAAGACCTCTACTCTTGGCATGGCGCAGAGGAAGGCTGGCAGCCATGACGGTGGAGGTGATGGCGCCGGTGGAGAGGACTTTGACTTTGAGGAGGGCACGACTGGCGAAGCTGCGACCGCCTGGAATAGGGCAGGCCGAGGCAGCCACGGCTTCGTGGTCGTGGGAATGGCAGCCCCCTCACGCTCGCAGCGGAGGAGACTCCAATGAGGACTTGAAAGACGATGTTGTTGGCTCACCTTCATCGCCCCCTTCGGTGACAAGCTCTGTCCGACGAAGACGAGGACAGCGTGGAGGTGAGACAGAAAAGAAAGGGGAGAAGAAATGGCGGTCAGGCCAAATTCCACCGCCGCCAGAGTTTGATGGTGGCACCGGGTCCAACCCTTTTGGACTGAGGATCTACAAGCGCAGCTTGGAGCGATGGTGTCGCATCACGAGAGAGTTCTTGCCGCCGAACGAGCAAGCTCTGAGAGCTATTCTACTCGACTTCAAAGATGTCAGCGACGACATGTTCGATGCTCACAATGGAACCGATGTGCTCTTCCAAGCTTTGGACAAGCACTTTGGCGAAAAGGAACTGTACAGGAGAGGCGGAGTGATCCGCGAGTCCGCCTGCCTCCCGCCTTCCACTTGCCACCAACCAGTTGCCACCAACCAACTGCCACCCACCAATTGTCAACAACAAATTTCTACCAACCAATTGCCACCCACCAATTGTCACCAACCAATTGCCACCCACCAATTGCCACCCACCAATTGAAATTTCACCAACCAATTGCCACTAACAAATTTTCACCAACCAATTGTCACCAACCAATTGTGATCAACCAATTGCCAGCAACCAATTGCCACCCACCAATCGTCACCAATTGCTACCAACCGGCTGCCACCAACTAATTGTCACCAACCACCAACCAATTGCCACCAACTATTTGTCACCAACCAATTGTCATCAGCCGATTGTCATCAACCGATTGTCTTCAACCGATTGCCACCCGCCAATTGGTCACCAACCACTTGTCATCAACCAATTGCAACCAACCAATTGCCACCAACTAATTGTCACCAAACAATTGTCATCAACCGATTGTCATCAACCAATTGTCACTCTCCAGTCGGATGTACGCCCTGGGGTTGGTTGGTTGGTTGGTTGATCGTGCGCCGGTGTGATTTGCGTGGCAGGCGTGGTACTTGCTCCTCTCCAAGGGGTCGGATGCACGCCCTGAGGTCGCTTGGCGCCGCACCTGCGCCGGTGTGATTTGCGTGGCAGGCGCGGTACGGGCGGCGCGCGCTGCTCTCCAAGGGTGTTGATTTGCGTGGCAGGCGGGGTACTTGCTCCCCACCAAGGGGTCGGATGTATGCCGTGGTCGCTTGGTCGCCGCACCTGCACCGGCGCGATTTGCCTGGCAGGCGCGGCGCGTGCTGCTCTCCAAGGGGCCGGATGTACGCCCTGAGGCGCTTGGTCGCCGCAGCTCCGCTGTGATTTGCGTGGCAGGCGCAGTACATTGGTGTTCTCCAGGAGGTCGGATGTATCCCCTGCCCTGGCGTCGCTGTGTTCTCCAGCGGGTCGGATGTACGCCCCTCACTCACTCTCCTCCCGACGATTCTTCTCACTGCAGACATTGTCTCTTGCTAAGTTGTTAACATGTGGGGTTTTCCGGCCCTATCATTTTTGGACTTCATGTGGACACTTGGCAATCCGCATTGATGAGTTCCCCAAGATCATGCCAGAGTGGCCAATGACACCTGCGACACTTGCGGCTTCAGAGAAGTGGTGATCCCAGCCGGCTCACCTCAATCCGGGAAGATGGTGCCGATCACGCCGAAGGCAACCCCGAGCTCCAAGACACCTCTCAGAGTTCCAAGCCACATCAAGGCCCTGCTAAGAAGACGCTCTTCAAAATCCTCCTCACGGTCATCGCACCAGCCTTCGGCTTCACAGGTGCCACACCAAGCCGTGCCCAAGAGATTGACTACACAGATCCAGTCACCTCCAGCTCCGATGACGAGGGGTGGCCTATGGCAGGAACATGCGGCGCCGGTGCCCCAGCACTTCTTGATTGGAGAAGGAGTCGGACGACTGGAAGGCCGGCGAGGGCAGCGTCTACTCGTGGCCTCAGGAGGGAGGCGAGTTCAGCATGTCCGGGGCGCAGACCAGCCGCTGACATGGGAAGATCGTGGAGCTTTCCAACTTCGAGCTGGAACTCAGAAGACTCTTTTAAAGTCCAATGTGAAGCAGCTCAAAAAGTCTTGGCTTTGTGGACAAGAGGTTTTGCAGAGTTCAATAGTGAACAGTCGCGTGCAAAGGAGCAAGTGCCGGGCAGATCTGATCGAGGTCTATCGTGTCGAAATATAAATACACATAGCAGCTCTTCGACAGAACCGTCAGACTTTGAAATGGGTTCCAAGCGACGAGATGAAGGCAGACTGTATGACAAAGAGGTCAACACAGCTTCGAGATGCCTTTCGCAAACGGATGAGGCAGCCCCACATCTCTTTGCGGGAAGCCAAGGACGCGAAGAGTGGCAACTGCAACGAGACCTGGAGACCAACGAAGATGTCACAGTCAACAGGAGAATTGACCAGTGTTGAACATGCAAAGCATGAGACGGTCGAGACACTTGACATGTGACATCCGCTGCTTTCACTACCTCAAGGGAGGGACACTAACGTTAGGCGCAGAGACGCTAAAAAGATGGAGCGCTGCATGGGTTGCTGTTTGTGAGGTCTATCGGCCACGTAGCTTGAGCACTCCAGGCTCCTGAACAAACATGGGGTCCCAATGCAATCATTTAGCTAGAAGCTACTAGTAACAAGGGCATCGCTACTAGCAACAAGGGCATTTCTACTAGCAGCGTTTAGTCGCCACAAGCTACTAGTAACAAGGCGCCTTGCTACTAGTAGTAACACGAAGAAGCTACTAGTAGCTCCTGGAAAGACTACTAGTAGCTAGAAGCTACTAGTATTTCACTAAATGGCAATGGGCCGTAATGGGGAACAAGAGACCTGGCGGCTCAGCGCAATGAGCCTTCTCCAGATGCAGGGCGACAATGAGCGACACACCAATCAACCAGGCAATTATAGGACCGGATAACCCCACATGTGAACAACTTCGAAAGATTGAGGCTGCAGGGGCAAAGTGCGGAAGAGTGAGCGTGGGGAAGAGACAGGCGAGACAGATATAAGGCGTGAGGGTCTCTGTGTGTACGTGAGGTGTGTGTTTGTGTGTATGCGCTTGTTCGTCAGTGTGTATCAGTGTGTGGGTGGATGTATGCTGCTTGGCGCTTGTACTAAAGTTGTACTAGAAAGTCGCCAGTTCTCATCTTCCAGCTCCCCAGATACTCCGCGTACTGAAGTTGTACTACAAAGTCGCCAGTTCTCAGCTTCCAGCTCCACAGATTGCTCCGCGTACTAAAGTTGTACTACAAAGTCGCCAGTTCTCATCTTCCAGCTCCACAGATTGCTCCGCGTACTAAAGTTGTACTACAAAGTCGCCAGTTCTCATCTTCCAGCTCCGCAGATACTCCGCGTACTTAAAGTTGTACTACAAAGTCGCCAGTTCTCATCTTCCAGCACCGCAGATTCTCCGCGTACTAAAGTTGCACTACAAAGTCGCCAGTTCTCAGCTTCCAGCTCCACAGATGCTGCGTGCCTGGCGCGAAATCTGCACATGGAGGTTCACAAAGTGCTGTGCCCACGAAATCTGCACATGGAGGTTCACAAAGTGCTGTGCCTGCCACGAAATCTGCGCATGGAGGTTCACAAAGGGCTGTGCCTGCCACGAAATCTGCACCGCGAGGTTCACACAGTGCTGTGCTTGCCACGAAATCTGCACATGGAGGTTCACACAGTGCTGCGCCTGCCACGAAATCTGCGCATGGAGGTTTACAAAGTGCTGCGCCTGCCACGAAATCTGCGCGTGGAGGTTCACAAAGTACTGCGCCTGCCACAAAATCTAAAGTTGTACTACAAAGTCGCCAGTTCTCATCTTCCAGCTCCCCAGATACTCCGCGTACTAAAGTTGTACTACAAAGTCGCCACTCATCCCGCGTACAAAAGTTGCACTACAAAGTCGCCAGTTCTCAGCTTCCAGCTCCACGGATTGCTCCGCGTACTAAAGTTGTACTACAAAGTCGCCAGTTCTCATCTTCCAGCCCCGCAGATACTCCGCGTACTGAAGTTGTACTACAAAGTCGCCAGTTCTCAGCTTCCAGCTCCACAGATGCTGTGCCTGCCACGAAATCTGCACATGGAGGTTCACAAAGCGCTGCGCCTGCCACGAAATCTGCGCCGGTGCCCAGCCGACGCCAGATGACGCCAGACGACGCCAGGGCGTACATCCGACCCCTTGGCAAGCAGCAAAGTGCTGCGCCTGCCAGCGCCGGTGCCCAGCCGACGCCAGACGACGCCAGACGACGCCAGGGCGTACATCCGACCCCTTGGCAAGCAGCAAAGTGCTGCGCCTGCCACGAAATCTGCGCCGGTGCCCCAGCCGACGCCAGACGACGCCAGACGATGCCAGGGCGTACATCCGACCCCTTGGCAAGCAGCAAAGTGCTGCGCCTGCCACGAAATCTGCGCCGGTGCC